CTGTCCAACACACCCCAATCAATCTGTGCTGGTTACATGGACCGGCTGTTCTCACCACATTACACCCTTGAGATGAGATGCCTACTTATCTTTTTATAAATTGACCATTATGGCTCTAACAACTCTTGGTGGCTCAGAGGCAAAAAAAAAAGTAAAGGGTTGTCTTTGATCGGCCATTCCTTGACATTCTATATAAATTACATCAAGTCTCCAAGAAGATGAGTYGGGCCCAGATTAAAAGTGATTTATTAGAGGGATTTCCTTATGTAAAGATTTTGGATTTATACAACAAATGTTTTTTTTTGCAACAGATGGTTTCTCTGCCTGATTGTGTTTAATATGCTTCATTTTCATTATGTGTCTCGCATGGTTAATTATTAGACAACAAATCAGGGCAGTCCTCCATGTAAATAACCAAAGTTTTATTCCAAAATCTATTAGCTCTTAAAGTATATGTTGGAGATGACTCAGCTGCTATCGCACCAAACTTTAGTACAATGTTTCCACAAATGACTGAGTTTCAGCCTTTTTTATTTATTTTTTTGTTTTGTTTGTTTGCATTTGCTAAGGTTAATGAGCTATGATGGCCATCTTAGATTGGGGTTGACTCCAAAAGTTATTCAGTTGTAGTTTCATTAAAAGCTGAGCAGAAATACGCAAGATGTTAAAGAGTTAAGTCCAACAGTCAAGGCCAAAGATATTGTGTGATCACATTGTGTGATCTGTTAGAGCTCAGTGGGATGATACTACCACATTTCAATTAATTATCAGTAAATATACAGATATACCCTTAAAGACAGAACATACGCGGATTCATTTTTCATCATTCCCGCCAAAAGCTCTAATAGACTTTAAATTTGAATTGCACTGGGGAGTCTTTGTTTGTGTGACTGAGTATACAAAAAGAAAATTCTATGCAAGGCACACTATAGGCAGAAAGAGCAGCTGAAAACACTGACATAGCGCACAAAATTTCTAAAAGAAGTTTCTTAGTTTTCCTAAATTGCGCCTTTGATCCAGTCACTAACATTAACTTCCTTCTGAACCACGTCTCACTTCAGCTTTAAGGAAAACCCACATCTACTCATCCACCTTTACTCCTCCCTTAAATGCTTTCCTTTCTATGGTTGATCTGTCATGAAAAGCCAGAGAAGGTCTGCCGCTTTTTATTTGCTCTCTGCTTGTGTGGACTGGAAAAAAAAATTTTTTCTGGAAGTTAGTCGAAGTGGTGAAACTTCACAAACTGAGGAGCATATGGGGGCAAATTGAGTGCAGAATGTTTTAAGTTTGATGGTAATGAAAGTGGACCAAAGACTGGAGGACCGCTTGTTGTATCCTCAAGGCAGAAAAGTCTATGGATGAATTTGCCAGCATTTCAGTATTCTCTCTTTACTATAAAAATTTTAACAGGTCACATATTTTTGACATAAAGTGTCAGGATAATGTTCTTAAGAAATAAGCAAAACATTTGCTTTTTGGTTAAGGATGACTGACAGTCTAAATCTGCACACTCTGACCCATAAAGACAAACTAAATTTAAAAAAATGTAAAATCTATGGACACAAGTTCTAAAGTTTGCAAAAGCTCACAGAAGTAGAAAAAGTAAGAATGATTGAAAAAAAAGAAGGCTTCATTAGCCAGAGGCACTATACGTTTCTGAATTTTAATAAGAGCTGCTGGGATTTTAGGCTTTTACCCTGATTTTATTTATTTAATTTTATTTTTCTTCATTTCAAAGCTGCTTCATGCTACTGAATCTACTCTGTGATCAGTTGTATGATTAGTACGATTGTTGCAAAAGATCAGTTTGCACACTAGAATTTCTGTTTAGGTTTTGAAAATGCTTTGTATAAAAAAAGATTCAATAAAAAGAACAGTTGTTCACACCTGTAATTTCACTTATTTCTCTCACTGTGGTTTGAGTTTTAATTTCACACTAGTTGAAAAACTTTTCTGCTTTCAAGGTGTGTGTGTGTGTGTGTGTGTGTGTGTGTGTGTG